TCAGCTTGGTAGGATCAGAGACAGAATTTGTGCTTCCTGGAACTCACCCTCAAAAACACAGGGTTACTTCTCTGTCAAAGACAGACATCAGAGTAAGACTTTTGTGGGGGAAACTTTAATTTAGATGGCTCATAATGTCATCAATGCAAGCCTTCCCCGCAATGATGCCAATCATAACCGATCCATGCCTTCTCATCTTGGGTGACTCTTGTCCATATCCTCCCAAACGCCATGGCAGGAAGGGGCGTCAGTCAGTAAACATTTTTTAAGTGCCTACTGTGTGCTAGGCCTTGTGCTAAACCCTGGGGATTTGAAGAAAGGCAAAAAACAGTCCCTGTTTTTAAGGAGGTCACAGTCAAATGGGGGAGACAGCTTGTAAATAGCTGTGTACCAACAAGCTATGTAGACAGGTTAACTGAAGGGCTTCCTTTGGATCTCAACCTCATGTGACATTCTGGGTGGCTCACAAAACCTTCCCTAGCTTACCTGGCCTTGTGGTGCCATTCCAAATAAATAGAAACACAGAGAGTTCTCTTGGATTTTGCTTTTTTACACAAGCCCCGCTGTAGAAAAGTACATTTACAGTTTTCTAATGGGACTGAAGCAGCCTCGAGCCACATTTTGTTGATCAGTGCTTGAGGTCAAGGAGTGGTTTTATTTTTTTTTTCCTTTCCACTAAAATCATTGAAATATATTCAGCCAATCTTTCACATCAGAGGTGTAAATGGATTTCCTGGAAGTTTTTCAGCAGCTAATGAAAGGCAGTCACTTTTTTTTTTTTTTAACTTTGACTCCATTACGGGTTGCAGTGAGAGAACTTAACACTCCACCCCAGCTTCAAGGATGCTAAAACTGCCTTGACCTTGAATCCAGAAGGGTAGGCAGTGTCTTCAGCTAGAAGTGCTAATCTATAATCTGTTTACTTTGATACACTGTATTTTTGACAACACTTGTCCAGAAAGGGAGAGAGGGAAGGAGTGGAATTGATGTGTTTTTAAATGATGCTCTGTTCCACAATTCACTAGATAGAAAATTACATATTTTTCTTTATTTGCCTTTCTGACATTCAATAACAGTTGCTATCACAGCTTCAATTTATAGTTCACCCACTTTACCACTGATATCTGCTGAGTGTTCATGTTGCGTGTGTTTTCAGTGCATCAGATCCTCCTTCTCCGCGTCACCCAAGGGCACATTTCTCAGGCCCTTCCTTTCATCCCCACCAGAGAGAGCTACTAAATAGGATGCCCTGTTAAAACATCCTTCTCTGCTGATAACTGACTTGTCTAGAGCACTTTATGGTTTACCAGGGGCTTTACATATATTATTTTATTATATCTCTCACGACAACCAAGTGAGGGAAAGTATTATTCTCCCCAGTTTATGTATGAAGAAAGTGACTGGTGAATAGCCAGGTGCTAATTACTGTAGTGGATAGAGCACCGGGCCTGGAGTCAGGAAGACCTAAGTTCAAATCTGGTCTGAGACACTAATTAAATGGTCACTTAATCTGGAGTTTACCTCAGTTTCCTCATCTGTGACATGGAGATAATAAATAGTACCTACCTCCCAAGGCTGTTGAGGATGGAATGTGATAAGAATTGTTAAGGCACTTAGCATAGGAGCTGGTACATAGTAAGTGCTATATAAATGCTCGTTGTTATAATTATTATTACCCAATGTCACATAGTAAATAACCAAGCTGGGATTTGAACCCAGGTTTTCTGACTACAAATCCATTGCTTTTTCATTAACACCACAACTGATTGCTAAATATATAGAGAGTCCTAAGGAAATTATATAAGATTTTAAAAGATTTTCTCCGACTGCTACCTCTGATTACTGCTAATTACTGCACACTTCACCTTGTTTTCCATTGTTATCTCCCTATTGAAAAATAGGGTTCTTCCTTAAAGTAAGGGCTCTTGTAAAGACCAAATAATAAACAGAAATGTCAGTCCTGAGCCCCCAGCATTACAAGGTATTTACAAACATGACCCTTTGTGCCCAGTGGATATGGAGTGAATGCTAGAAATATCAAATACCTTTTTGTTGGATCAATTATTCTTACCATAAAAGGTTTGACACAGTGACTAGCCCTAAGCATCTAAATCAGGGGTGGGAAACTAGAGACCTTGAGGCCACATGTGGCCCTCGAGGTCCTCAAGTGCGGCCCTTTGACAGAATCCACACATCACAGAACAAATCCCCTTATGTTTGTATTCCATAAGAGGGCTGCACTTGAGGACGTCAGGGGCCACATGTGGCCTTGAGGCCGCAGGTACCCCACCTCTTGCTCAAAGTCACTCTAGGTCCTACTGATAACATTTGGTTGCCTCGAGCATGTTTACCAGGAATCCAAGATGATTTCATCATGGGATTAATGGTCAGAGTTGAAGGCATGTTGTCTGACCCATTCCCTATCACTGTAAAATAAAGCGGATCTAATCATTATGTTCAGCCATGCTAGAAATCCCAGTAAAAGACTTTGAACACGGCCATCAAATGAGATTTATTTTTAAAAAGTGCTTAGCCTAGTGCCTGGCATATAGTAGGTACTATACAGATGCTCCTTCCCTTCCTTCCACCATCGAGGACATTTTGTACTCGGGGAGTGCTAACGTCATCTAAAGTCCTTGAGCAAGATAGGGAATGTTTATCCTAAAAAAGGGGGAAGACTCAGGGAGAGGATGTAACTGGCTTCAAGTGTCTGATGGACTATAGTACAGAGGAACAATGGAGGGAAATGCAAATTTAGGCTTGATAAAGGTGGGGGGTAGAGGGATGTGGAGAAACTGGTTGGGGAGGAGACTTCCTGCCAGTTAGAGCCATCCAAAAGTGGAATGCGCCACCATAGGAAGGAGGAGAGCCATTCTCTTTGGAGGTCTTCAAGAAGAGGTTGGATGTCCATTTGTCATGGAGACCATAGTGGCAATTCTTTCTCAGTCTGGACTAAGTGGGCTCTGAGCTTTTCTGTCTCTGTCTGAAATTCTCTGAGTCACCCCAAAGCTGCTTGTTTCATGTAGATGTCCATACTTTCAAAGGGCTCCTGCAGAAGGGTGTGCCTGTGGTTTTGAACCACTCCCTAGAAAGGGAACATTTGTGTGGATCCATGATGAGTCTAATATCATGTATGCACTGGCCAAACCTCATAAATGGGAAGTCGAGTGTTGGAAGTTGTTGCTGAATTCTGGGACAGCGTGTTGTCATCCAGTGATACTGTTATTGAAAAAGAAATGGAAAAACTGCATCAAGGAGGCTGCTAGGGGGTCCGTAGAGAAGATGACAAGACTAGCACAAAGCACACAAGACCAAACTAAAGGGAGACAAGGACATAAAGAAGTATATAAAGCATAAATGTAGAGAAGAAATACAAAGAATGCATTGGTGACATCATCGCTTCTCTTGGCCTCCACTTTAACAACCTGCTATTGCTTGCAGCTGTGAACACATCACTTCCTAGCTCTGCTTTTCACTTTCTTCATTTGTGAAATAAAGAGGGTTGAACTAGGAGACCCTTTCTCGTCCACAATTTCTCAAAAATTCTGTGATGTGTGTGTGTGCATGTACATAGGAGTACATTATGGAATCCAAACATAAGGGGATTTGTTCTGTGATGTGTGTGTGTACATGTCCAACCAGCAAGCTCCTGCAAGGTGCCTACTGTACAGAGCAATGTGTCAGAAACTGGGTAGCACTGAGCCTAGAGAAAACATTCCCTCTGGCTCTCATGTAGCAGATGCTCTTCAGTGGTACAGTGGTACACCTAGACTTTCAGGCAGAGGACTTGGGCTTGGATCTGTGTGCCTTTGAGCAAGACATTTAAAAACTTCTGTGGGTCTCAGTTTCCCCGTCAGTAAAGTGAGTAAAGTACTATGATCTCTAAGGTGCCTTCTAGCTCTAAATCTGTGGTCTGTACTATACTGGAAAAGGCAGAACTAAGTCTCTCTTAGACCTGATTCAAGGAAATTTGGCTACAGATATCCAAAAGTACTTAAAATTTCATTTTAAGCATCCATACGACTTCAGCTTAGGGCAGTCGTACCTCTAAAGTAGTCCCAGCCATAGGTCCTGAGGAAGACGGTATTGTAACAAGTGTTTCATGGCATACCCATGTGCGCCTATTTCTGGGCAAGCTAGAGTATAACCAGAAAATAACTTACAAATTATGAAATGCTTTTTCTTCTTTAAGTTACAAGATACTGAGATATGAAGGAGAGACTGAGAGAGAAGTATCATTTACTTCTCTAAAACTGAGAGCCGTCATGTTTACTCCCACCTCAAACAACTCGTTTTTAAAGATTTGCCTCCAAGAAACCTAAAAGCCTGTATTCTGCCTGATCAGCAACAGCCTCCAACCTGTTTTCTGTCACTGAAGAAAACAAATCTTTTGCCTGTCTCTGCCTGGGGGAGATGGAGGAACCAAGGAGGTCCTGGGTGACTGAATCGGATGAAAGACTTGCTTTCTGCCATGGAGACATGGAGTCTAATCAAGTGAAATGAGTTTTGAGATCTCTGTTCATTTCCTAGGGGGGATCCGTTCACATTACAAAATCATGACATCCCATTCATCACAGCTGACGTGGTCTTTGCTCAGGAGAGGACCCCAGCTGGGACTGAACCACCTGTCTTTTCTGGAAAGGGGACACTTTATCCGAGTTAGAGTTGAAAGCCTTGGAGAAGGGCAGCTTGCCAGGCACTGGCCCAGACCTTGGTAATGCACATGGAATGTGAAAGGAGAAGTTAAACCTAGCATGGGCAAGATGGGAAGACAGGTGGGCGTCCTTTTAACTGTGTCAAATACAAATAACTAGAAGAGAGACGCTAAGGAGGTTTTACAGAGGGAAGTAAACTTGACCCCTCCCCCCTTCTTTATCACCTAGATTTTATTAAGCAGACGCGAGGAGGATAAATATTTTCATGCATCAGAGTTTGGAATGGCAGAGAGTGTTCTGTTTTCCAGGCTGATAAATGAACATCATCTCTTTTCTTTCTTTCAGGGCATCATTGTAACACCACTGCTACTGCTGATTTTTGTAAGTATTTTGATGTTAAGACTTTAATGGCTTTTATTAAAAAGTTATTTACAACCTGTTAAGAAAGGTCATTAGAGGAAAATGGGAATTGGTATCATTTTGCACCATTTTCATATCACATGTTTTGAAGTGTTCTTTAGGTATAATTAATCAGCTGGTCAGGCAACATTTATTAAACACCCACTATGTTCCAGGCACTGTGCTAAGCACCAGGGAAACAAACAAAGGCAGAAGACAGTCCCTGCTCTCAAGGAGCTCATAGTCTAATGGGGAAGACCACATGTAAACCATTATGTACAAACAAGCTATATACAGGATAAATTGGAAATCATCAGCAGAGGGTAGACACTGAGGGATGGAGAAAGGTTTCCTGTAGAAGGTGAGATTTAAGCTGGGACTTGAAGGAAGCCAGAGAAGCCATACTAATGCAATTTGGATGATGTAAAGCCATGTGGCCACAATTCAATCTCAACGGCAAGCATTTATTTATTCATTTAATAAGCATTGATTAAGCACCTACTACTAAGCCACCTTTAGTGCTGGGCATTGGGTATATAAAGACAAAAATTAAACAGACCCTGCCCTCAGAGCTGGGGAGTCTACATTTGAGTAACACAGACAAATAAATGCACAAAATATAATGCGGGGCGGGGGGGAGAAGCGGTGGCTGGCAGCTGGAGTGATCAGGTTATACCTTGTATGAGAGGGAGAATTTTATCTGAGTCTTGAAGGAAACTATAATCTCATCGAGGTGAAGGTAAGAAAGGGGGTACATGCGAGCATGGGGAACACTATGCGAAGGCAGAGAAACAGAAAATGGGATGTCGCATGCTTTAGAAAATATATGCCTATTTTCTAATAACATGCATATTAGAAAATGTATGCAATATATGTATATGCAGTTAATGCAGTTGTGCTGGAACATAACATGCGTGAAGGAGAGTAATATGCACTAAGCCTGGGAAGATAGGCTGAAACCATTGGTTAAGTGCCTACTGTATACAAAGCACCACACTAGGGATACAAAGGCAAGAATGAAATTATAATCTCTGCCCTCGAGTAACTTGGAGTCTTCTGGGTCTGAGTACTGTAATAGAACCAATCTCTTGTGGTTCCATATTCTAGCTGAAGTCACTGTTTTTTTGAGTTCACACTCACTTCACTTGAGTTCTATCCTAAATGTTTATTTACTGACTGATTTCCATTTTGGCATCAATAAAACGGAAAGAATTGATACTGACACAGAATGCTGAAGCACGTGGTCTAGTGAGAAAATTCTCGACTCAATTCAGCAAGTGTTTATGAAGCACCTACTATGTACAAGGCACTGTGCTTAAAAGGAGGCAGCCTGGTAGAGTGGATGGAGTGCTATACTTGGATTCAGGAAGCCTTGGGTTCCAAATCTTGCCTCAGATACTTAGTAACCAAAAAGACTATTTTGTGGAGAACTCACACAGGGCAAGTGCTCACATGGTGGTCAGAAGAAGCAATACAAGGACACTCTCAAAGTCTCTTAAGAACTTTGGAATTGATTGTGTGACATGGGAGACACTGGCACAGGACCACTCAGCATGGCATGCCCTCATCAGAGAAGGTGTTGTGCTTTGTGAGCACAGCAGAAGTGAAGTAACTTAGAAGAAGTGTGAGATGTGCAAATTTAGAGAAGCCACCCCAAATGTTCCCAAGGACTATTTGTGCCTGACCTGCGGTAGAGCATTCCGAGCTCGTATTAGTCTGATCAGCCATGGTTGGACACACTGTAACTTGATGCTAACATTGTGACTCCATATTGGTCTTCTTTGAGAACAAAGGACAGCAACCACTGCCACCAACCGTGTGACCCAATCAAGTCATTTAGCTTGGTTGAGGCTTCGTTTCTTCATCTATAAAATGGAAATAGTAATTGCATCTAGCTTACAAGGTTGTTTGAGAATTGAATGAGAGAAACTATGTAAAGTATTTTACAAACTTTAAAGCACTGTGTACATGTTAGCTGCTACTGCTTTTTCTGGTGGTAGTAGTAATTATGTTCAGGCACATATGTGTGGCCCTGAGGATACTAAGAGGAAAGAAAAAACAATCCCCGCCCTCAAAAAGGGCCTGGGAACTTAGGTTCTACATCTCACTTATCTTCCCCCTCTGACTCAATTTCCCCTTCTCTAAAACAGAGATAGTTGTACCTGTCCAAATCAACTTCTCGGGAGTATCATAAGGAGAAAATGAAAGAGTAGATTGCAAAGTACTTAGAAATTAAGGCGTACTCTAAGTGGCAGCTGTTTTTAACTGAATCAAAATTATTTGTTTTTTAAAAAAGGAATGCTAATTAAATGTCTTATATCTTTTGCTGCTGGGACATGAGAAATTAGACAAAAGATTATAATAGAAATTAATGTTATTCCACGCTGAGCACAGCAGCATATTTAATCATGAGTAATACCAAAAATATTTTATGAACTAATTTCTTTCCATGCACATATCTCCCATGTAGGAATTGCTTCTCTTATCAGAGAACGCAGTTACTTCTGGGGCTGGAACTGAGCTCGTCAGCTCTACTACTGTGGATTCAAAACAGGGGAGTGAAATGTATGTAGATATCACTCCATGCAATGTGATTGCCTAACTTGGAGTTCCCTAGCATAACCTAGTGAGGGACCTTCTCTCTCCAAGGAATTCAGGCAATATGGAGGACTGGCCGTGCTCCACAGTTGGTTTCATTTCTTCTAGGAGTGATTTCTTCTAGGTATTCTCTTTGAACCCTGGCTCAGACCAGGGTTCCCTTCTGGGACATTCAATTTAATTCAATTCAATGAGCATTTATTAAGAGCTAGACAAGACAGTATAGGGAGAGAGTAAATCTGGCATAGTGGAGAAAAACTCAGCCTTGAAGTCCAGCAGATGAGGGTTCAAATCCTACTTCTGACATATACTGGCTTTGTAACCATGGGCACATTATTTAATCTCTTAGCACATTGATCAGCTCTTGAAGACTGTAAGGAATGGCAGATGCTAATCTACATTGGTAGAAGTTTCCTTTGAGAAAGTAGAAGTTTCACTGGAAGATCCCTATACCAACGAAGTCATTGCCAGGCTGCGTGCTAGGCCCAAAGGCTCAAAGACAACAAGGAAGCAGTCCTCGAGCTCAGGGAGTTCACATTCTTTTGAGCTGTAATTGGAAGACCATGTTGGTTCAGTAGACTTTGGCATTTATAACTTGAGCTCGATTTAGCTGGCTTGCCCCACTGAGGATGATTCCACCCAGAGGCTGACTTGATGATTGGTGAGTCCCTTCCTGGAACCACCATATCATCAAAAGCCCCAGGGCTGCTCACTGCTCTTCTGGCTCATTGGCCACTCTGTTCCCCCTCTGCACTGGCTCTTTTGCCTGCTCTTGGATACCTTTCTGTTCTCCATTTTCCAGCTCCCTTTTGTGTGTTTTCTTTTGCCTTTAGAATGTAAGTTCTGTGGGAGTAGGGAACGTTTTATGTTCTTATTTTTGTGTCCCTTGTGCTTAGCAATGGCTGGCACATAGTAATTAATTCTCATCCTATCTGTCTGTCTACCAATCCATCCATCCATCCGTCTGTCTGTCTGTCGGTCTGTCTGTCTTTCTATATCTATATTCATTTATCTATCTATCTCTATATGGTTGTTGTTATTTGTTCTCAAAGAGGACCAACATGACATCACTATGTCAGGGTCAAGGTACAGCGTCCCACTGTGATTGATCCAGAGACTCTACCACAGATGAGGCACAGATGGTCCGCATGAACATTCAGAGTGGAAATGTCTCTAAATTTGCGCATCTCACATTATGAGCTACTGCAGTTCTGATTCACTCAGAATGTAGCACCTTCTTTGATGTGGGCACACCATGCTGGGCATTCCTTTGCCAGTGTCTTCCATGTCTCACAATCAATTCTAAAGAGACCTTGAGAATGTCCTTGCATCACTTCTTCAGATCTCTGTGTGAGCGCTTGCCTTATCTGTCTGTCTGTTTACTTACTGCCCTGTCTCTATATCTATCTGTCTGTCTGTCTGTCCTTCTATCAATCTAGGGTTAGTTTTCCACCTATAGACAAGATTTGATCAGCAAATCAATTGCATTAACAAGAGTGTAGTGACATCTATTTCATATAAAAGGATTATTAAGGATTTCATCATATCAGTTGTTTGAATTCAAAGGATGTTGCTAATTAAAAATGGCTGTTATCTGAAAACATATATAGAATATATATAGAATCTCAGTACCTGTAAACGTGTTTGCAGTGTCTAATTCAAGTTACTCAGTGTGTAGGGAAATAAAACTGCCTGTCTTTTGAAATACTCTAGAATTTAGATTTTTAACTAATGCAGAATGGCCTTTTCTCTTTTCTGACCCCCTCTTCCCCTGCCATGTTAGCCTGCATTGATGAAATTTTACTATACCTTGTAGTCTAGATTTTTTCCTCTTAAAAATTTCTTGTGGAGATGCTGTTACCCGAGCTCCTTTCCCAGGCGTGAGGCATTAGCAGAGTGTCTGGAATCAGATGGACTAAATGGACATAGGGCTTATCGAGAAAGTACTATTAGACACGAAGACCTTTAAGACCTGCAGCCTGTGGCTGGGCCCCACTTCCAGGGGGTCACCCTTCTGAATCTGTTTGCCAGTGTCTCTTAACCACTCAAGTCATTAGAAGGCCACAAGGGGATGGTAGTTACTGGCATGACAGCTCTAAGTTTTCATTGCTGACTAAGGATTATAGAATCATCTTCTGGAGAACTTTCCTCACTCCTTGATTCAGGAGCATCAGCAGACTAACCTTAGCAGACCTAATAGCTCATTTCTTAAAAATGGTCTTTGTCCTGAAAGGTTTCCTTACATCTGGCCCAGGGTCCAAACCCTATCTGAAAAGTGTCGGTTATCTGCCCTTTGCAACTAACACTCCCCTGTTTTAAGCCGGTCCTTCCTTGCTGCACAGGCTAAGTCTCCGCAAGGATCTTGGTGACATAGAAGATGGGGT